CTGAGTTGAGCTTTAAAGAAAATTATAGATTCTAAGAGTTGAGATTGAAGAGGCATAGGTGATAGCAAGTATAAAGGCATTGAGATGGCATCATGATGAATAACGAACAGTCAGCTTAATTGTACCTTACAATATGTTAAGGTGGATAACGTGTAATAAAGGTGGAAAGGTAGATTGGGTCAAAGCTGTAAAAGAGCAAGGAGAGGAGAGATGACAATGTTTGAAATTTCATTGGAGAAAGAATATAGTGAATCAATATGGAGAATGGGAGAGTGAATCAATTAGGGAGTAGTATGACTGTTATGCTTCATGTGGATCCAGTTGGGATTAAGTAACATAAATTTGTAGTGGACACAATCAGCACAGTACCATGATTTCCTCCATCTCCATTCAGCAGCACACAATTTCATTTTGTGTACGATAATGTATCTTACAAATGGAAAAATGAAAATCAGGTGGCGTTATTTGTGTGATTAATGCTGGCATGTCTAGCATTTCAAGAAGAGGTTTTATCCCTTTAAAGAAATGGGAGACATTCCTCTTTCAGTGGGAATTGAGGTTCAGGGGAAGAGTACTCAGTATCAAATCAATTAACATGCCCTAACAGTTTGATTTCTATTTGAAAATTTACAATTCACCAAGCCATGATTAAGCTAATTAGACCTATATATTATCTTTCTTGTTGGCTAAGAAATGGTTAACAATTAACTGGTCTCATATAGCTAATCATCACTGAGTAATGAAGCACTCATATATTCATGCCTTTTGGATGGACAGTCTTTTCCAGCAGCCTTGAGATATTTAATAGTTATATTTTAATGGACATAGGCTTCTGGTCTTTAACTTGATAATTGCTCTCTGGTTGAGCTGCATCAAGGACATATATATATATAATGTGTGTATATACATATATATATATATGTATATACACACATATATACACACATATGCATGCATTTATTACAACCCAATTTTAAGTGATTATTTTCTATTCTGTTTGGCAAGCATATAAACTCTCATCAGGCGAAGCTACAAAGTATAATCAATTCTCCCTGTCTCCAACTAGTCACACCAGTGATTTCTCCCATTTTCTCATACCTACCAAATCTGTTTTGGTCCCTATCAAAACTTTAAAAAAAAAAAACATGCAAGCAGCCAGAAAGAAACAATTCAAGTATTGTGGAAACACAATCAGGATAACACAAGATTTAGCAGCTTCTACATTAAGGGATCAGAGGGCTTGGAATATGATATTCAGGAGGTCAAAGGAGCTAGGATTAAAATCAAGAATCACCTTAGTGCAATCTTTCAGGGAAAAAAAATGGAAATTCAATGAAATAGAGGACTTTCAAGCATTCTTGATAAAAAGACCAGAGTTGAATAGAAAATTTGACTTTCAAATACAAAACTCAAAAGAAGCATGAAAAAGCACTGATGATGTAAATTGGACCTTCCAAACTGGACCATCCTCCCCAGGAGGAACTAAGCTACTAAGCTCTACAGTTCCTGGGACTATATGTACTCAGCTTCATCAGGGCCATTTTTGGTACCATTGGCATGTCTTATCACTCTTTTCCCACCTCTTTCTGGAAGAACTGGAATCAAATCAGCACCACCATTGCATCTGGAAAGGGATAGACTATCCTATTGTTCTACTTACTATCTCTATGACTCCTCAGAACAGAATACTCTCCCTATTGCTTCCCTACATATGTTGTCTCCCCATTGGAATGAATAAATAAACATAACTTTAAAAAGCATATTAAGTGATTATTATGTGCCAGGCATTGTGCTAAGCACTGGGTATACAAAATTTTTGAGAACATTGTATACAGTAACAGCAATGTTGTTTTAAGAACAACTTTGAGCAAGTAAGTTATTTTGTCTATTATAAATACCAAATTAAGTATAAAGGACATATGAAGAAAGATGCTATTTGCATCCGGAGGAAGAATTGACAAATAGAAGTATGTGTAAAATAATTTTCCATATACATGTATATATACATATGTGTGTGTGTGTACACACATACACCTCTATTTGTGTCTAATAGTAGCCATGGGTGGTAAGGAAGAAAAAAAGAAAAAAAATTGCATGATAATTTTGTTACCTATTTGAAGGAATAACAGGTTGTAAATAGTAGATTTGTAGTTTCACGTACAATTGTCTTTTTTATTGTAAAAAAATAACTATTAAAAACAATATTTTATTGACATTTTTGTATTTAGACCAACTTCATTTACATCTCTCCCCCCTCAAACCCCTAACAAGACATCCTTTGTAATAAAGATGAAAAAAGAGAAAGGGGAATAAGCAGATGAGCAAAACCAACCCATTACCAACCATGTCTGAGAGAATATGGAATATACTCTCCCCAAAGTCCCTCACCTCTGCAAAGAGGTACATTTTTTCAGTCTTCTCTGGGGCCAAAGTTAATCATTAAAATTATAGCATTCAATTTTGTTTTAATTTCAATTTCTGCTGACATTTTCATACTTTCTGTGCATACTGTTTTTCTTTTTCTGCTTACTTAATTCTGTATCAGTTCATATAAGCCTTCCATGAGTCTCTGAAGTCTTCATTTTAGTTATTTATTCCAGCATAGTCTTTCCTAAATCACTTACTTAGGCTTCTTCTTCAACTTGGCCTCCCATAATTTTTTGGAATGCTGTCTTCTCTGCAACCTAGATCTCCTTTGCTCTTCCAACTACAGTGATGTTTTTGAAATTTGCCTGTCCCTTTCCTTCCCATTGCCACCATGCAAGTCCAGGCACTCATCACTCTCCTCTTAATATGTGTAACAGCTTCCTCTCTGGCTCTATAATGGACCTTCTTTTCTAACTCTAGACTATTTCACTTGGTTATCTCATGAGCTCCCAAATATCACGTCTATGCAGATGATTCTCAGATCTATAGGTCCTATTCTAGCCTCTCTCCTGACCTGCAGTTTCGCATGTCCAGATACCTGCTCAACACCTTGAATGAATGTCCCATAAACATCTTAAATTCAATATATACAAAATGGAAGTCATTATCTACGCACACACACACACACCCTCAAATCTTCTCTCATTCCTAACTTTCCTGTTACTGTTGAGGGCACCATCTTGTCAATTCTATCCTTATAGCACCTCTCATATATGCTCCCTTCTTTCCTCTGATCCTGCTACCCCACTGGTGCAGGCCCTCAACCTCCCCTGCCTAGACTATTGTAGCAGCCTGCTGGTTGGTCTCCTTGCTCCAAATCTCTCCCCATTTCACTCCATCCTCCATTTATCTGTCAGAGATTTTCCTAATGCTGACGTTTAACCCAAAAGTCCCCTTTTCACTTCTCCCTCATTCATTAAATTCTAGCGGCTCCCTATTACCTCTAGGATCAAATAGAAAATCCTTTGGCTTTTAAACCCTTCATAACTTGACTCTTCCCTCATTTTCCAGTCTTCTTGTACTTTCTCCATATACTGTGCAATCCAGCTATACAGGTCTCTTTGCTATTTTTCACACAAGCTACTCCATCTTCCCATTCTGTGCATTTTCAATGGTTGTCCCCCATGCCTGGAATTCTCTCCCTCCCAAATTCTGCCTCCTGGCTTCCCTGACTTCCTTCAAGGCTCAGTAAAAGTCAAACTTTTTATAAAAATCCTTTCCTGGTCCCCCTAAATACAAGTGCCTTCCCTCTGAGATTACCTGTAAGTTATCCTGTACATGTATTTTTTACACATAATTGGTTCCATGTAGCCGCCTCCATTAGATTATCAGAGACTATTTTTTCCTTTCCACCCCCAGGGCTTGGCACAGTGCCTGGCACATAGTAGATGTTTAATAAATGCTTCTTGACTTGATTTAACCATCATTCACCCAGTCACCCATATTAAAAACTCATCTTCCACATCAAGTCTTGGTCAAGTCTTGTCAATTCTATTTTTGCAGCCTCTCAAATTACTCCTTCCTTTGGATTCCCTCTGCAACCAGTCTAGTTGAATTTCTCATTACCTTCCATCTGGATCAAGGCAATACGCACAAAACTTATATCCCTGAATGCAATCTCTCCTCACTTATCCTTACTTACACTTCTAAATATAGAGTTATATTTACATAATTCCTCTGCTCAAATGAATCTGCATAGCTTACCAAATAAAGTATTGATGAATTGGAGCTCAAGAGATGAATGATATATGTCTAGATGTGGGAATCATCTGCATATTGAAATTATGGGACCTAATGAGATCATCAAGAAGGTATATAGAGAAAAGTGGGCCCATTAGTGATTCCTGAGATACATTCAAGCAAGGAGGACAGGACATAGATAATGATCACCAAAGGAAATTGAGAAAGAATGAGTAGGAAGTGAACCAGTAGAGAGTGGTTCTGAGTATTTAGGTGGAGAAGATAGTGAACCTGTCATGCCAATGGCTGAAAAAAATTTCCTCACCTCATGGCCAGTCTTCTGATGATAAACCTCTTGATTCTTAAGTTGGTTGCTCTTTTAATGCTTAATGACTGATTGATATTCTTGTATCATCAATAGATTTCTGCTGCCTTCAGATCAAGTAAGAGACTTAAATGTTTATTTGATTGAAATGGAAATGGAATACAGGGAGTTGGGCTGGGTAAAATCCCCAGTTTTTTGAGGTCCTGGCACCCAAAATGTTCTCCAAAGTAAAAGAAAAATACATACTATTCATCTCCATTTCTGGAAAAATTGGCACCTAAAAAGAAATTTATTGATCCAAGATTGCACACAATAAATTAACAAAGATGAATTGGAATTTTCAGATTTCCAACCCCACATTCAGCTAAAATATGGGTTGTGAGATCAAGATTTCAAAACTTAGATATAAATGTCTTATAGATTACAAGCTTTTTAATATTTGTGCATTTTTGGAGTGGTCATGGTTCTTGTAAAGAAAAGCAGCAGAAAAATTCCCAGTCTATCACTTGTAATGTAGAACCTCCCATGTCCCCAGAAGCATGAAAGAACATAGGCTTGACACATCCACTGAATGCATTCTGTTTATTTGAGAAGGAAGATCTCAAGTGAGGATCCTTTAGGAGAAACATCTCCCATCATTATGTACAACAAAATCAACCGTTGCTTCCAGCAGGGTACAAAAATACACATCTCAGTGACTTCCATACAATAAATATGTAATCATGCATCCCACAATAAAAGGCACCGAAAACTGGTCACTTAGTAGTCATAAAAATTACTAACTACATTAACAAAGCCACCAAAATCTCTGTACAAGGAAATGTAACAATATATTCCAAAGGTGAAAACACATAAAACATCTTTAAAATAGTATGCAATAAATACCTCAATTGCTGTATACATATATATATTAAAAATAAAACTGTGCCATTGTAAACAGTATGTAAACAAACAAAACTCAACATGTCCTTACAATTATTAAAAGCAAATCAAGCCAAAGTAATGACTCCTGTTCTAATAGATATATTTCATTGGCATATTTGCCAAACATACAGTTCCACTCTTTTCTGTAGCAAACAGAGCCCACTGTGTAACAGGGAGAAGCCATTTTGCCTATTTTAGGCATAAACTGATAGGAGTTTGACAATAGATTAAGTGAATCCTTAAAAAGAAACAAATCACAAAGACTGAAAAGGAGAGAAATACCACCAAAAGCCTAGTTTTTGCAGCGTAAAGGTCGGAAGGAACTGCATTTTAGTTTCATACTGTCAGGATGATTATGAACAGGAAATCCACTCAGTCTGTGATCATCTTTGCTGAAAGAGAAAACAAATGTGTGTTGTGTAAAGATGTCATGTCTAATTGGTGTGCCTCACCTTTTCTTTGGTAGATTGTTTGCATGATAAAAACAGATTCCCTAAAGTTATGTGAAGCTTACAAATGGATGATATTTAATAAAGATGCAAACTGTGACTCCAAATTAGGTCTGTTTAAATAATGTTTTTAGTTGCAACAGGATTTTTTCCCCTTTAGCATTTAGTAGTCACGTAGATATACGTGACTTTTTCTTAGAAAAACAACATCAAAAATACAAACCATTATCTAACACCCAACAAACTAACAGTGCTCAAAGATTCTTCTCTTATAACTCACAACCGATTTTTTATTTCAGATAGGTCAATGCATGTGAATCTGAAAATAATGTATTTACTATAAGCTTATATTAGGATTACTATGTGTCCTTATCTGAATGTTACATGCTATCACTTTCCATTCCATAGTAAGATTAGAAATGCAAACATATAGATATATGCAATTTATATATCTATAAATTTGTATGTATGTCTTCAAAAAGTCTGAAATAACTCAGGAAAATATGATTTTAAGTGTTCTTTCTATAGGTGTACATTAACACTTCATGGTTATATGTTTTGATTCCTATAAAGTAAAGCAGACAATTCAATCTCCTAAGATGAACCTTGAGTTTAACTCCTATTTTAAATGTAAAAACTATCAGTTGGATCAGTCAGTACAGACTAGCCTATAGTTATGAGGAATAATTGATTAAACTATGCCTTTCTAACCAAAGATGGCTAAAAATGTTCTTTGATGCCATCACTAAACTATGAAAATATCTGAGCAGAAAGATGGAATGAATCTCTTATAATGCGCACTTTGGTTACTGCCAGGGGTGAGGGTGGGATGTTTTCCACTATGAATTCAATGTTCATTTAAATAAAATATACCTCGTTTCTTTCCAAGACCTACTTTTTAAAATATTAAGTGTTCTTGTATTTGCCATATTACATAAGACCTGGTGTTCAAGTTCACAAATTGAATAAGTTAATTTAATATAAACTCATATGACAGAAAAGAAATATTGAAAGGAAAACAGTTTAACTGGAAACATATTCAGTCTTTAAGTAATGCTGTAATTTCACAAGCCTCCAGACTATAATGTCAATAATAATTAAAAGTGATAATAAACTAGAAGCATTTGGAAAACATCACAAATTGGAATGCTTAGGTCATTTTACTTAAAAACAAGTTTTACTTGACTGTTTCATTTGGTTCTTCTTCAGTATACAAAAGCACTGAAAATGTAGTTCATTCTGAATACTCGATAAATATGCAAAATGTCTGTGTGTTCATATTACATATGACAAATGTCAATGTCCAAAATAGGAAAAGAATAATTGATGCCTATCAGTGAATTATGATGTGCTTTAATTCACAAATCTATGTGAGCTTCCTAGGCTTCTATGTTGAAGTAGGAATTCAGTCTTGGTAGCATTTTCTGATAAAAATAGTTGTCATTTTGGTAACCAGTTATTATCCTTTACCAAAAAATGTTCATCATCACCTGAGGTAGGATGGTAGAGTGGAAGAAGTGCTGAACTTAGCCTAGAATCAAAAGACCACACTTCTGGGTTCAGCTCTTTTTACTAATCATGATGTGATCTCGGGAAATCAATCAAGACACACTTTAAGGGCGTACCATGGGCCAGGCAAAGCATATAATCTTCCTGGATCTCAGTTCCCTCGTCTTTAAAATAAAGGGATTAGATTAGAGTAGGAATTCTAAACTTGGGGTCCATAGACCTATGGATAGATTTCAGAAGGTCCATGAACTTAGATGGGGAAAAATATTACAACTTTATTTTTGATAACTTTTGCTTTCCTTTGTAACCCTATGGATTTTATTTTATGCATTTAAAAATACAATTTTGAGAAGAGGTCCATATATAAAATTTTACCAGACTGCCAAGTTAAGAATCCTTAAACTAGAAGCTCTTTAAGGTTTTATTCAGCTTTGATATTCTATAGTTCATGAATATATTAAGTTTTCTTCCCTGCTACAAACATAAGTTTCAGTTTAGCTTATGGCTAAGATAAACATAAACACACACACACACACACACACACACACACACACACACTTGCAAATACAGGGCGTTCCAATAGCTTAAAGCTTCAATAAGACTTTTGGAAGACCCTATATATTAATACTATTATATGAACTTTGAGGTTCTTCCTAAATTTTATCATTGAAAAGATACAAAAGAAGTATTGTCTGGATTTTATGTTTGCATTCTTGTTTTACTGTATGCATCTAAATGGTAACAGATTTCATGTAACTTGAAATAGTCATCCATTCAGTAACCCTCCCTGCCCCAATGACAGCCTCAATGGCACAGACACTGCAAGAACTTTGATTTGGCACTTAAAAAAACAGTATCTCAAAAATCCCCAAATCTCCATTAATGGCACTAGTACATATTATAGGTTTTTTTTTCCAATTAGTGGTTACTAAGTTTCTTGGCTGGAGGGAAAATTCTTTTTTATATAAAATTCAATTACTATCATCTTCTGGAGACCAGATAATTTTATTATCATTCTATCATCTTTCATAAGCTAATAGCAATAGAATTTTTGTCTCATTTGCTAGAAGGAGTCTTGGAAATGTACAATTTTGAAAATTTTCATTCTCACTATTCTGTACATTGAGAAACCACTCAAAAATTTAACTTTTTTTTTCTTAAGGAAGAACCTCAATTTCTTCTCATTTGCATACTAGGCCACTGAATCATTATTTTTCATCCATTTTATATTCTTGTTGTATAGTCTACTGATCAGTCTTGCTGTCAGTCTAATTTAGTTAGTGAGGAAAAAATGAAAACACCTGATCAACTATTTCTAATCCAGTTTTTCTTATATTTTAACATCTGCCATACAGGGTATTTTCTTTGACGCTAGCTATGGCTCCATAAGACACATTATCTTACATCAAAAAGCACAAACGTATTTGATCAAATCCTTGAGTAAAGACACTTTTAAAGCAATGCTCAGGTAGCATGTGGTGGTAGGTAACAATTCATTATGCAAGAAAAAAAAGTGCTTCTTTTACCACTATAGCTTCATGCTAGCAACTAATTTGATTATTTTTCTTAATTTTTTTTTTTTAGGCAATTGGGGTTAAGTGACTTATCAGGGTCACACAGCTAGTAAGGGTTTTAAGTGTTTGGTCTGAGGTCGAATTTGAACTCAGGTCCTCCTGACTTCAGGGCCAGTACTCTATCCACTGCACCACCTAGCTGCCCCTAATTTGATTATTTTAATGAGGTTATTTTGATTTATGTGACTTTCCCTCCTAGGTCAACCAAAAAAAAAAATCCTGATTTCTACATTTCTTCCTCTATTACAAATAGATTTTCATTCAGGCAACAAAAATCATGTTTATGATGTATTCCACATATAAAGACAGAATTCTATCTTCTCTTAAGGAAAAAGGATAGAAAATAATAGGAATATTTAATAGGATTTAATTTAATTTATAATTTAATAGGATTTAGTAGGAAATAATAGGGGAAAAAATGGAAAGGGTAGCAGTACAAAAAAATAAAAAAGCCAGGCAAGAAAGGTAACTACACAAGAACCAGGCTGGTAGTGGGCTGCACCCTCAAGGAACCAATACTTTACTGGATCTTGGTTTCCATATGCCCAACCATACCAGCCGGTAACTGAGTTGTCACTGTCTATCAGTTCATGTGTCAATACATGATGTGACGTATTCTCCTTTTTATTTTTAAAGCATTTATAATAATTTATTAAAAATTATCCTTAATATTCTATGACAGCTTGGAAATATATAAAATTTGTTAGTTGCCTTATAAAAGCAAACTGATTTCTAAATTGACTTTAGGGTTTCTAAGAATAATGAACTAAATTTAGGCACACAACACTGTTTCATACTAACTTGGAATGGATTTTTTTTGTTTGTATGCTATAATTTTTGAAATTGCTTAAAATTTTGTTTTTCAAAACTTATAAGTTTTTTTCATATAAAATATATTTTAAATACATATCAACATAATTAAAAAGACAAGTATGCACCCAGTTGTATAATTGAGTGTTGGCAATTGATGACAAAATAAAATGGGTTCCCTAGATTTCTAAAAATACAAATAAACTACATCCATATACAGATAGTGAAATTGCAAATGCATACTTAAATAACTGTGTAAACGAAACCCTAGAATGGGTCTTAATGCTTCCCTGCAGACTGCAACACTTTCTATGCTTATTTGTATATATGTTAGGTGTGCAATTATTGATTTCTCCCAAGCCACAGAGATGGACAATTAATATTGGGCAAAAGGTTGGGTTTGAAGAGAAATTTGCTTGGGTGGTAAAGAAAAAACTAGCATACTGGAACATGTGGATAAAACATCAACATTCTTAAATTTTTGAAATTCATTTCCATTTTCTTATTTCTCCACACTTCAAAAAATGCAATAATTCTGCAATAACATCCCAAATGACTTTAGCATGCAGTATTTAATTTCAGCCATCCATTTATCTGTTAGAAAGAGAGTCATCTTTCTACTAACAAGGAGTTTCAGAAAGGAACAAGACGGGCTTCTGTTTGACAGAAATGAGTGCTTCAAGTATGTAAGCAAATTATTAACAGCATTATTAACAAGTATGCAACAGCAGTATAAAAGAACTAGAAAATGTGATTTGTATAAAAGATCAAGTTCCTTAATATATTTTATAGAGATAAATACATTGATTTATACAACTGGTGAAGCCTTCTACTGATTATTACCTTGTTAATGCTGTCTATCATCACTGCTATTGATGTCAACATTTCCTTTTTTTCTCTTCAAAAACAGAATATTAAAATTTAAAATTCTTGCCCCAAAGTTAACCACATATATAAGGCTAGTTTGTTACTCAAATATTTTACCCACATAAAATTCCTGCAAACGAGAATAAATCTTTGCAGTTTGAATGAGCAACATGATAATATTCT